ATCGGACTGTGTGGTCACATGTGTCGATCGCGTCGCGGTATGAGAAACTCGAATCCCGGCATGTATCTTCGGCCCGCGTGTTGATACGGGTACGCGCAATTTTACGTCAATGATTAATAGGAATCGACAGTAGTCGACATTGCGCGATGCCGATGTCATCCGGTCGAGAAATATCGCCGATAAATTCTTCTTTGAATTGCTACTCTCTCCTTCTTCCTCATCGTCTATCTTTCTTTTTTCCTAATGAAAAGCGAAATATCTTTTTTCCAGGCCTCTTTTTCTAACTCGTTAATAATATTTTTCCATCCTGATCTTCGATAACGCGTGCACTCGATGAAGGATTGATGTAAAGAAATTGGAAAGTGCGAAATGCATTCTGGAATATTATGTATCAATCGACTAATTTATTATTAATTTGTCGTATTCGCTCGTGGCGATCGGCATGATAATCTAATTGATTATCTCAATGCATGAGATAATGAGGCTGATATAGATTTCTGCATTAAATATTGTCGACATAATTTCCATTTAAAATAACGACAAACGCATTTCGCGACGATAAATAGGGATTTTTTTATTTTTAAAAGATATAAATTTTATACAATAGGATTGAGAATCTATGGAACGTGTGCATCGTATTATTAAAAACATTACGCGACAATAACAATCGTAATTCGTTTATTGCATTAGCGATAACATCATTGATGATGAATTAATTATTATGTACATGTATTAAACGTCGCGCGTTTGTTCCCATTAAACACGAATAATTCTTTGGATTCGATTCTACTTGTCAAATTGGAAATATTTTTTCTCGTTAATGACGTTTTTCGATCGTCGCCGGAAGGTGCGCTCGTAACGAACGATCGATGTATAACATGCGTGCAATGAAAGAGTCGAAGGGGTTGGGAAACTCGCGCTCTTGTTAGGAATACAATGTACACGTCGCTCAACGGATGAAACTCGGACGTTACGTGTCAATCGAACGTTATTAATTTGCGGTATTCATTACCATCGTAGGTAGATGGCGATTAGTATCATTGATAATGGCATGAATTAGTCATGCCAGCGTATTATGTCGCATTAAACATTGGTTGTTCATTTTCATCGAATGTGAACGATAGTAGAATTAATAATTCAGATTGATAATCTTCTTTGGTTTATGGTGGTTTTAAATAAAATGCATTATCTCAATCTCTGTCATCTTTCTTTTTAAGCAAAAATTCTTTTATGACTGGAATGAAATATCTTAATTAAATATCTCACTTTAATAGACTTCAAGAAATATACTTAAATAATTATGTATGCTTTTTTAAAATTGATATTAAATATATAATTCTCAAAAATTTAGATTATATAAAAATGAAATTAGTATTTTTTTATTTTCTAAGAAATTTTGGATTAATATATACTTAAAAAATATTAGTACATTAAGGAGGTTTTTTAATTTTTAAAATAATTTAAAAGTTTAAATAATTAATAAAAGCAGCAAAACTATAATTGATTATTTAAAAATATTTTTTTTATAATAGAAATAAATATTCATGATGTAAATATTGAAAAAAATTATTTTTAGTAATAATTTAAATTTAATTTAGATATTGATAACTCTGATGGAAATAACGTTATCACGTTTTCATAATTGTGTGTCATAATTTTCAAGAGATTTTTTAATGAATATTTCATACTTTTACATTTACACGAAAATGATACACGAAAATGAAACTTCATTCTTTTTTATTCCAAAAATATTTTTTAAACTCCATTTTTAAATATCTATATAATTCTTCAAAATTCTCGTATTTTGTTTACAATTAAATTACTTAACACCCTTTTTCTCATAAGAATTTAAACTATTTAAAAAAATTATTTAAAGAAAATTATAATCAAAAAATCTGAAAAAATTTAGGAATGTCTACATATTAATTATAAATTTATTCTCAATATTTGATCAAATTTTTATATTAGGTATATAAAAAGACTGAAGAATATTCTTAAGTATATAGTATATTTTTTCAAAGACAAAGATATTGAAAGTATCTAATCGGATGATTTATCGTGGATGGATTGCGACGTTGACTCGGAACCTCGAACTTCACGACGTGATCTTCGGTATAGTATATGCACGGATAATGCATTCATTGTCAGAGACGTGGAAGTGAGAGTCAAAGAAGTTCCGGAATCGCCTTCGGCTGAATAACTCAGTGTCACGCGTGACAAGCATACGCGTGTACGCGATCTCTCGTATATATATATATATACGTGACACATTGTTTTCGCGGGTGCACTATTACGAAAGGGAACTTGCACGGCGCTCGTTTTCACCTCTCATCCTCCTCACTCTTCTCATCGTCCGCTCTCGCATTCACCCTTCGCAGCCTCCCAAGTTCGCAGTTCCACGAGTGGGCGTTATTGTGTTACGATGTATACCACGGGGCAGACTTCTACGGTTCTCCGTGCCACGGATTCGGGTGCAAACGTTATTATTTTTCGCAATTTACTAAGCAGATGCCTCCCCATTGTGAAGCTGCCGCTGGTGCCGCTCCGTTGCCGGGAGTTTATTTTCCCGGCTCGTCTCCAACAGACGCTGACATTGTGATATTTTGCCTTCATGTAGCGGAATTTTTTTACACGCGAATCCCTGCAATTGTGAAATTTTTATATCCGTGTATGGACTCAGATATGCAAAAGGGAGAAAAAAGGAGATAACGAAGAGTATACGCATAGTAAAATAGAAAGTTGTGGCACGGAACATTTTAAACAACTTAGTGAATAATTATTTTAACAGTATCAAAAATATTTTTCATGAGAAAAATATTTTTATATTTCCTATTTAATTTTACAAATTAGTCGATACAATACAAATTAGTAATATACATAAATATAAATGTATACATTATGTACAAATTTCTTATAAAAATAATCATTCATATTTCATCATAATTATAAATAAATAAATTTAATTAAGGATGATAGATTGCATATCTAGTATTTGTTGCTGAAAAAAGTCTGATAGAATCAGTAAATCGTAAACAACGAATAAATCATAGTTGCTTTTTTTGAAAAGCAACTATGAGTTTTTTTTTGACATCGATAAATTCATCTGATTATTCTGTGCATAACAGCAGGAAGACACAAAAATGAATAATTTACGAGATATTTTATAATTTATTGTAGCATATTTTGATATGAGATATAAAATATCTCGTAAGCTATTCAGTTTTTAGTAACTGTATTTTAATGTTTTTACTTTTTAAGTATACTTATTAATAATAAAACAAATCAATTCATGTAAAGAAAACACATATTTATTTTTCAAAAATATATAATATATAATTGCATATTTAAATATAATTGCACAAATTGCATAATATTGCATAATTTTTGAAAAACAAATCTTTATCCTTTTTACATCGATTGATATTGATGTCATTATTCTGTTGCTTCAAGCAATTACAATTACCCAAAAATAAATAGTTTACAAGATCTGTTATAATATATTTTATGTAAAAATGTGTCAATATTTTAAAGAAAAATATGGCATAGAGGATTGTGTCTCTGAGATTGCATTTAACATTTTGATCCTTCAATAATAATCTTTAATTTTAGCTAATTGTAAATTTTGTTATTAAACATAGGAAATCCATTACCTATAAAAAAAGTTTTTTATCTATTATATATAATATAACAAAAGATGAAAAAATAGTATTAAAAGTATAATAATATCATCTTCTTTTATTTCTGGATAAACGAAAACGTTTTAATAATTTTTGTCATTTTTACGTACATTTGCACTACTCGTTTTCTAATTTTTAACTTTATCGATCGTCGTAATTTTTACTTCCATTACGTCGCTCAGGAAGCTCATTTTTGCTCTTTATCTTCGTACAGTTTCAAGTTGCTGCATCCGCGCGCACGCGAGCGCGAATGGCGTGTATTCGCGTCAGAGGCTGAATATTTAAACCAACTTGCTGGCACGCATTGTTTCACCGGCGTCTTCATCTCGATGGACTACACACGTCGAGAAATAATGATCGCACCGACCGTCTACCGTTCCTTTCTTCTCTTCTTTTGCCGGTATCGTTCTTTGCTCTTGCGACGCTAAAGCATCTACGACGAAAACACTACCGACTTGAGATTTTACCGGACGCGTTTCTTTCTTCTCAGACCGTAGACAAGGAGATGGTTGAACATAGAAAATGTTCGTGACTTTTCTTCGTTGTGTACCTGTATTCTACCTGCAATATAGATAAAACATTTTTTTTTAAGTCTTAGAGTGAATTGTAAATAAATATAGACAAATAACTAATCTCTAAGAATTGTTTTCTTTTTATTTATTGTTGATTTTTTATTAGTTATGTAATATTTTCAATATAAATATAAGAGTAGGAAGGAGAATTGCGTCGAGGCACATCTATATTTATTTTATTTTTCCTTTTAAATATTTTTTGTGCATATTATGTGATATTTCTAGGATTAATGATAACGCTACTGAATCGTATCCAGACTCGCTTGGCGCGTTAAACTAGTTTGAATAAACGAAAGGAAACAGACGCGCGCGAGGAAGAGGCAAACTACGAAGTCGACCGTGAAGCAGAAGTTTTAAGTTTTGGTAGTTGTGCAGACCGATAGTCTCTTTTTCGTTTTTCTTGTCAGTCCTTTCCAAACATTCGCTCTTTTCGAAGTTTATCATCATTTCTGTGATCTTCGGCGCCTCTGAAGTTACGAAGAAACGATACTTTACCGAACTCGCCGATCGCTTTCCATTTATTTCAATTTATTGATTCCTCGATAATACATTTTCCTTTTGGTAATCAAATATCTAATTATTAAGTTAAATAACAACATTATAAATATATAGCGTAATTATTGTGTTGTGTAGAAAAATTATTTTTGTATAAATGTATACAGTCTGCTTTTATATTTTCTAAAAATTTTTAAATAATGGACATACAATCGAATTTTTTTTAACATCAAAATATTTTATGTTATTTTTATAGATATACGCTATGGAGGTGCGAACGGAAAGACCACGGACCGCCGGTCGAATAGCACCAACCGGAAGAGTAACACCGACAGTGCATCAAACCGGCGGAGGTCGAAGAAAAGCAATACCGGTCCCACCACCGAGAGTGCCGACGCCAATGCCCATCGTAAATAATAATCAACAACGGTAAGTGCATTTTGAAATTATAATTGAACATGTTTATGCCGGAAGGAGAATAAGTTTTCCATAATTCTATATTGGTAATATCATATGTATGTATAATAATTAATTATTAATATCACGATACTTATTCATCAAAAATGAAAATATAATTTTTATCACAGAAATAAACATGATTTATCAATTACTTCATCTGGATATATTTCATACGCATTTACAAAAAAATCTTCATTTTCACAGTGTAATATGTAATTTTGTGCACACAGTTTGTTGTCTAATTTAAATAATGACATTAGTTTTAATGAAAAAAGAGAACAACTTTTTTTAACGTATATGTTGGGACGTCGAATATATTATTGAAATATTTTTATCAGATTTGATTCTTAAGATATAGGAAAAAACATTTTAACAAATAATATAAAATTAAAACACTCGATATTCAAATAAACTAAATTAAATTGGGTGGGCAGGGATGAGAGTTTCGCACAGTTATCTAGTCTCAAATATATATTAGCCAATTAGTTTTTTAATACATTACAACAAACGTTATGGTTTCATTCCGGGCCATAATCAATGTGCAGTTGATGTTAAAGACTTCTTTGAGATTTTTAATTCCTAGGTAATTGGAATAGCTAGGTAATTGGAATTGCCTGATATCATACTGTATCATACTTCTCTGAAATGCAGAATTAATAAACATTCGTAAATTATTTTAATAATTATTAAAATAACAATTATGTTAAAAATCAGTTAGTCATAAATTAGTTTGTTGGAATACTTATGATGTCGTTACAAAGTATTCAGTCGCAATGAATAAACATTTTTTCCAATATATGGTGAAATTTTATTGAAATTAAAAAATAAATCAAAAGTATTTGGCATTTAATTTTTGTTTTTTTTTTGTGTAATTTTAGATTGGTTCCACGTATTAAAGTCTAGCAGTAGTTAGTATCGAAAATTACTCTTCAAATTGTTTTCATATGCTCTTGCACAAATCCTTATAAATTAGTGTAATTAAATAAATTGAAAAATTAATACTTCGGGGTTGATCGTATTTGTCGTATGCCATTCGAGTTAGTCGCGCAGAAATGTCCATAGCAATAACTCGATTCTGATTCAAGTTTAAGGAACTTCATGTAGCGAGGATATATCGGGATCGTGCTTTCCGAACTTGGACGATGCCAGTCGCTATACGGTTGCCTATTCGCCAGACGACACGGCGCTCAACTTTGTCTCGCGGTTTAACGGCGGCGGATTTTACAGCGAGTTTCCAGTCACATTAATTCCTTGCGAGGATAAGTGCCATTAAGAGCGTCGTGCAACCAAGGTGCAGTGGATAGTAGTGGAACGGGGGATAGGTACGGCTGATTAAACTCAACCAGGAAGCGTAAGGTCGCTGCCCACTTCGTTGATCTTCTCCGCCAATCTGCTTCTGCCAAGCGTTGGCTCGTGCAGAACTGGGGATTTGCTCGCCACCACTCGCGGATAAAACCACCCCCGGATGTTAAGCTTTCGTGGTTGGCGTATTTTTCGGGACTGGTGTTCAAGCTTGGGATTTTCGAGAGTTTATCGAAGCGCCGCAAACTGCGCGTATAAGAGTCGAGCCTGATAATTGAAAAGCTAAGTGAATAAAGGTGGATACATGACACAAAGGGACGATTACGCTGTATTGACATGTAACGATTTAATCTGCGATTTTATTAGAAGAGAATGTCGTTCTCATATATTTTTTGAAAATCCACATGAAAAAGACGGTTTACTGAAATATCTAAAAATTTAACTGGATATATAGATCGGGAAAAAGTGTTTGTTTATGAAAATAAATATATATATATATATA